GATCTATATCAATTAGCGCCTGACTTTGAAAACTTTGGGGATATTTTAAAATTTTAACAGTTTTTTTACCAATAAGGTTTTTGATTTTTTTTTTAAAGTTCTCACAACCACTTCTCTTTGTTTTCCTATTTTATTTTGAAGTCTCAAAATCACGTCTTTAAAACATATTCTTAGAAAAAAAAAAATCATCACCAAAAAATAATTGAAACTTCTTTATAAATTTACATACATTTTATCACATAAACATTTTAATAAATTAATTATTATCATTTTTTTCTTTTCTTTTGAGATCTATTTCTTCTCATAATCATGTTTTCTCATTATCACCATATTATTGAGAATCTATTCATTTATTTATAAATTTTTGTATTTTTCTAAATTTTCATTATTAATAAATTTATTTTGTTACTATATTGCCACATGAATTAATATTTTGGATAATATATATTTATAAAAAATATCATAATAAAAAAAAAAAAAAAAAATTGCAACTTCTACAGAATTTTTTTACGAATTTTTTTTTACATTCAAAATTTCCTAAAAAAAAATAAAAAATTCGTTACCAAATTGTTCTTGAAGCTATTGAAACTATCAGTTTGACTCTAGGAACAAAAAACTACTATTTACGAAACAAATTTTAGCTATTAGTAATGAGAGAAAACGTCCGAGGAGTCCCCTTTTGACAAATACAAATCCCATACAAATCCAAATTTTAGCTATTCGTTTTGAATTTTTTTTAATTGTAAAACTAAGTCAATTACAGTTATACCCTAACAAATCCTTTAAAATTACTTAGAATACATGGGTTTTATCCACCCATCCAAAACTTTATTGGATCTAACCCAATTTCTATAATAAATTAATTAAAATTGATTTTCTCAATTTCTAATATTACAAAATCAAAATCGTTTTTCTTTTAACTCCTCTTCTTTTCTTCTCTTCGTGAAATTAGGGATAACTATTCTTCTCTCCCTCTTTTCAATTGTTGTGTTGGATCGATTGTTGTTTGAGATCTTTGTTCAATCGATTGTTGTGCATAAAGATAGTTAGGACAAGATTCAGAATGTTGAGAAAGCCTAAACGATTGATGAAGATGGGAGGGAGCGATCTCCGGTTCAGATTAGTGATGAGAAAGTCAGACCGAGTGAAGAAGAATGAGTAAGGACGAGAGAAGAACCAACTCGGAAAGAAGTCCAAGCCAAACCGTGAGCGATCCCAGCGACTCAATGGTAAGTACTTGCATTCGATTTAATAGATAGAACTAAGATTTGGATTTAGATTTAGATTTAGATTCGACTCAATGATAAGTGCTTGAAAATGAGGATTTGGATTTAGATTTTTAGATACTCAATCCAATTAGATTTGGCTTATTGTGCTTGGTATGGACATTGTAAGTTTATGCATACTTTCTGGGGGTCGATTAGGTCTTTAAATGGATTTTAGCAACTAAATCGTAGTGAATTATAATTTTGAACCCGAAACCATTCAATTTGAGTTCTTGTCGCGATAGTAGAACTGGTCAAACTGGGTAGAAATGAATCTGAAATTATTGAAACATATATATGTAGTATGACTAGTTACACTAGTATTACCCATATATGTAGTATGACTAGTTACACTAGTGTTACTGATATATGTAGTATGACTAGTTACACTAGTATTACCCAAATATATGTATTATGACTATTTACACTAGTATTACCGATATATGTAGTATGAGTGTATGACTAGTTACACTAGTATTACCCAGATATATGTAGTATGACTAGTTACACTAGTATTACCCAGATATATGTAGTATGACTAGTTACACTAGTATTACCCAAATATATGTATTATGACTAGTTACACTAGTATTACCGATATATGTAGTATGAGTGTATGACTAGTTACACTAGTATTACCCAGATATGTGTAGTATGACTAGTTACACTAGTATTACCCAGATATATGTAGTATGACTAGTTAAACTAGTATTACCCAGATATATGTAGTATGACTAGTTACACTAATATTACCCAGATATATGTAGTATGACTAGTTACACTAGTATTACCCAAATATATGTATTATGACTAGTTACACTAGTATTACCGATATATGTAGTATGAGTGTATGACTAGTTACACTAGTATTACCCAGATATATGTAGTATGACTAGTTACACTAGTATTACTAATATATGTAGTATGATTAGTTATACTAGTATTATCCAGATATATGTAGTATGACTAGTTACACTAGTATTACTACAAATGTAGTAGAACTAGTAAAACTAGTATTACTGACAGAGTTTATGTATTGTTTTGGCAGGATACAATGAGGGAGAACGTGATCATATATTTCAAATGCCAAGGTTGCATGTATACCTTGATGATGAAGACTTCAGGGGAGAAGATAACTCTCTCCATATTAAAAGCTTACCCAAAATTGAATGTTCAAAATGACTCGAGAAGATGCTACGTCCGTGGAGCCATTTGGGAGAAAATTTTGACTTTTTAATTTATTCCACACGGTCTTCTACTTCTTATCTAGCATTGTTATTGGGCACACAAAGACTGGAGAAGATGCTACGTCCATGGAGTCATATTTTCTGAGAGCGTTGTATGATATGAACTATTTTGGGTTGTAATATTTGTTTACATCCCACATGAAATTGATAGTATCATGGTAGCTGGAGGTGAAGAAGAATATACCTTCTTCACTATATCTTTGTCTTATAGTTGTTGTTTAGATTTGTACAATTGGTAATACTAGGTAAAACTATGTTGGTTTTGTTTTTTTTTATTTATACTACTGGTATTACTAGGTAAAACTATGTGCACCGTCAAATTAACACATGTGCGAGTCAAATTTACACATGTGCACCGTCAAATTTGGGAGAAAACCCAAAAAAATGAGAGAATTTCAATTTTGGGACACGTGGGCCCCATCTTATCCACGTGTGCGCCGTTTTTTTCCACCAGTGCGCAACTTTTTTTAAATATAGTTGTACCCTAGTTATTGGTTGTACAAATTTTTTACATAGTTGTATTTTTGGTGTTTTTCAGTTTAACCAGTATTACATATTCTTAAAAATTGCTTATCTAGTTGTACACTTGAGTGAACTCTATAATTATAGAATTCTTAATGTTTTTTGTAATTATATGTTAAAAATATATAAAATTGTAAATTTTCCATCCTAAGTTGGTGTTTTTATAAAAAGTGAACTTAAAAGTATAAGGATTATGTTGTATGGAGTCTATTAAAACAATCCGATATGATATAACTTTTTTTCCCACTTAATTTATTTTATATCATTTATAAGAGTTCATTATCACTTAATAGTCAGTGTAATATTTAATGTTGGAAAAAATAAATTCGAAATTCAAATTTCTTCATAAGTTGTACCAGTTTTACTAGTATTACCAAATCTCGTTATTAGTACTACTTTTTATACTAGTTTTACCCATTTGCCATAGAAAAAAAACATAGTATTACATCATAAAAAACTAGTGTTACATAGTTGTCCAAGTCGAAATTGTTTTACAAATCATAAAGTGCAGATAAAATCAAATATTATGATTGCCAAATAACAACCACAAACAAAACAAAACATAACCTCTACTCTCCACAGTTGCTCGGACAATCCTGATGGAGTGATGACCTCCACATACAAAACATATCTACGGTTATTTTCACCTAAAACTATATAGACACCAACATCCTCATCATCACAAATATAAATCTCTTCCTCTGGTCCCAACACCACTGCATTGTATCTCATTTGCAATTTAACCTTACTTTTATCTAACACTAGCTTCGTGCATATCCTACTTTCTAACATGGAGAGAGTTATCTTCTCCCCTGATGTCTTCATCATCAAGCTATACATGCGACTTTCGCATTTAAAATATATGATCACGTTCTCCCTCATTGTATCCTGCCAAAACAATACAAAAACTCCGCGAGTTATACTAGTTGTACTACAATTCTGGGTAATACTAGTAAAACTAGTAATACTACATATATCTGGGTAATACTAGTGTAACTAGTAATACAACATATATCTGGGTAATACTAGTGTAACTAGTAATACTACATATATATTTTTTAATAGATTCAGGTTCAATTCTACCTAGTTCTACCAGTTGTACTTTCGCGTCAAGAACTCAAATCGAATGGTTTCGGGTTCTAAACTACAATTCACTATGATTCAGTTGCTGCAATCCATTTCTTACCCATTTACAGACCTATTCGACCCAGAATCTATGCATAAACTTCCAATGTGCATACCAAACAATTAGCTAAATCCAATTGGATTCAATCTCCTTAATTCTAAATGGTTTTGATTCAATTTCAAGCTCAAAGGAGCTCGAGAAACATACATGTCCTTTCTATCTCGACCCAGCTCACCGGAGGAGAGGATACGGCAACAATGGCGACTGCAAATCGAATCTGTGGCAACAATGGCGGAAGAGGAGCACGACGAGAGCGAGAGCTCGTTTTTTTTTTCTTCCAATTTTCGTTTTTTATTTTATTTTAGTAATTAATTAATTATTCTGAAAATGAAGGAAGGTTATAATGGGTAACACACATTTCATTAATAGAGAAGGGGATATGTAGACAAATAAAGGATATAAGAGCATCTCCAATGGGAGGTTTCTCTCGTAATTTAGTTGGGTTCTCTTATTTTAGATGATTAAAAATAAATCAAAACAAATAATTATTGAGAGAATCGTTTCTCTCAAGAGAGTTTTGGAGATGTGAGAGAGCCGCACACGTGGCAGGAGCTGATTGGGTTGATTATATTTAACAAAAAAACCCTCTCTCTCTTCATTTCTTCATTTCTTCGAGCTCCCAACTATCTCTCAATTTCTTGCAGAGCCGAGATTTTTCCGATTTCTTGCAGAGCCGAGTGTAAAAACGTGTGAAATTTTGGTGTGTCTGAGTTCGTGACGCCGGATTCATCATCTCCAGAGCCGCTTCTCACCATCGGCGGCCGTAGGTTATCCTTATGGGAGATTTGGGATGCGAATCAGAGAGAAGACGTTGTGGATTTTGGGATAAAGGAATCAATTTGTTTAACTTGATGCAAAATCGAGGACATGTACCGAATTTTTATACAATGGTAGCTCTAACGACTGGTTTGATTGATCCTAGTTTGTTACTCATTGCTTGGTCTGTTCATGGATTTTGTTTGAAAATCAATCTAGATTATCATTCTTATGTTCGTTGTGCTTTAGTGAACATGTACTCGAGATGCAGGTGCATAGCTTCTGCTTGTAGTGTGTATAATAGCATCTGTGAGCCTGATTTAGTTGCGTATTCTTCTTTGATAACTGGTTATTCAAAATGCGGGAATCACAAGGAGCTTTTGCATCTGTTTGCTGAGTTGAGAATGAGTGGTAAGAAGCCAGATTGTGTTCTTGTGGCGATTGTATTAGGGTCTTGTGCTGAGTTATGGAATTCAGTCTACGGGAAAGAAGTGCACGGTTATGTTATTCGACTAGGATTAGAACTTGATATCAAGGTCTGCTCTGCTCTGCTCTTATAGACATGTACTCAAATTTGTGGTAGTGCAATTGTTAAAGCTTATTCAAATGCTGGACTTATCGTTGAAGCAAGTAAGTTGTTTTGTTCAATACCAGATCCGGATCTTGCTCTGTGGAATGTTACGATTCTTGGATGTGGATGCTGTGGATTTTGGCATGTTCTTTCAATTTGTTGTCATGAGTGTTCATTGGCCTTTTCTGCATCGAAGATTTGTATTATATGAACCCGTGAGACTCATGACATTGGATCCAAAGAACATGTATTAACACAGTTTGGTCTTAGAGATTAGAAATGTTATGTTTGGGATCTGATTCTCACCTTATGAATTAGTTGTTACTATTGTGTTCAATTAGAAAGTGCTGAAGTAGCTTTTGGGGTTTTGCTTGTAAGAATAAGCTAAGTGTTAGGCTTAAATATGTCTAGAGGGAGCTGTTGTGTAGTTGTCACAAAGTTGCTGTGTTGTTTTTTATTTTCTCTTTTAAGTATGTTGTAGTAGTTTTGTTGTAAGTCTGTCGGAAAATCTATGAAGCTTTGATCTTTTCTAATGTGTTTTTACAGCAAGTTCTTTAAACACTTAAAAGCAAAGATAAGAAACAGAGAGATGAGAACAAAGAGAGTTGTTCAGACTCTTGAAAACTAGATTCGCAACATTCTCTCATTGCATATTGGACATTTTGGAAACATGTTTTTACCATATAATGTTTCTGCAGCTTTTGGTTACTAACTCAAGGCAAAGCCTAACTTAAACCACAATGGCTACATCACTCATTAGTCATTACTTGCTATATTATGTAATGAACGTGATTCGAAACATCAAGCTCAAAATGACAAAAAAAATCTTTGTTTAATATTTTAAAAATGTGTAATGCCATGTATGTTTAATGTTTTATAATTTGCAGTAATTATTAAATTTTATGAAATATTATAATTTTAAAAAAAAAATTCTAAGAACCCCACTTGAGAGAAACTACCATTGGACTTTGAAATTTTCTTTTTAAAAACTACAAGCTCTCATCTTACAAATTTCCATAATTTATATTAAACAATGGGAAAGAGCCCATGAAAGGCTCTCACCATTGTAGATGCTCTAAGAGATTAGTTGCTTTCAAGGACTTGAGAGACATTTTCTCATTAGTAATGGCATGACATGTAATTAATAACAAAATTAAGGGTTTTTGCTTTTCCAACGTTTTGCTGAAAAAGCGAGAAATCAAATCCAGTGTCTATCTTGGTCGTCGAAATCCATGGCTTCTTCTCTTCTCAGGCCAACTCCATTACTCTCTACACCTCATAAATTACCTCATCTTCACACCTCTATCTCTTTCCCATACGAAATTTCGGCTCAGAGAAACCCACATAATCATCTTCTCAATCTATGTCGCTCGTCATCAACACCGTCACAGCAAAAGGCCTCACAGAGGAAGAGAACAAGGTACAGGAAACAGTACCCAGGAGAAAACATTGGTATAACTGAGGAAATGAGATTCGTCGCCATGAGATTACGCAATGTTAATGGTAAAAAATTAGATATTTCTGGTGATAAAACTGAAGAAGAAGAAGAAGATGATGATGATGATGATGAAGTAAAGGAAGAGACTTGGAAACCGAGCAAAGAAGGGTTTCTTAAGTACTTAGTTGATAGCAAGCTTGTTTTCGATACTATTGAACGAATTGTTGACGAATCTGAGAATGTTTCTTGTAAGAACCCTACTTTTGTCTCGAATTTGACAGTTTTATGATCCCTACTTTGGTAATGAATTTGGGTTAATGGGTTTTTGGCAAATGTGCAGATGCTTACTTCAGGAGAACAGGATTAGAGAGATGTGAAAGTATTGAGAAGGATTTACAATGGTTTAGAGGAGAGGATTTGGTTATACCAGAACCAAGTAATATAGGAGTTTCTTATGCAAAGTATTTGGAAGAACAAGCAGGGGAAAGTGCACCTTTGTTTCTTTCTCATTTCTACAGTATCTACTTTTCACATATTGCTGGTGGTCAAGTTATTGTAAGACAGGTTAGTTTCTTTGGTAAGTGTTCATTGTGTAACGTAGAAGAGGTTTTCAACTGCATAAGGTCACATCTAGCATATGGAATTGTTACAGCTAGTTTGATAGAGTTAAAGGTTAGTTTTAGATATAAATGGATTCAAGAGAGTTGGGTTTATCCGGACTTTTGCGGGTTATGGTGGGTATGAGAGAGTTGTGATAAGACTGAGAATGGTAGATTGTGAAAAGATTTCCTTTCTTCTTCATTGAGACTCAACTTACAATCACAGAAGAAAAACCAAAGAGAACCGTGATAAAGAACAACGAGATCCTGAACCAACACCAAGCTTGCTCCATTAGTTTGTTCATGCTTGTCCCAAACGAACTTGTAAACCGACTGTTTAGTTAGGTTAACGTGGTATTAAGCAATGGCTGAACTATGCTTTCGTCTTTATTTTTTGTATTTATCAAAACGGTACGATTCTTTGTGTTGGTTCTGTTGCATAAACAAATGGAAACATGTTCTGGTTCTTACTTTTATCAATATATCCCATGATTTGGACTGTCATAATTGTTTGGTCACCCTTGTATGCGCGGTTTTCAAATGTAACTGATCAATTGAATCATTAAGGTATCTGAGAAGCTTCTGGAAGGAAAGGAGTTGGAGTTCAATAGTTGGGAAGGGGATGCACAAGACTTGCTTAAAGGCGTCCGCGAGAAGCTTAACGTGCTTGGGGAGGTGAGATTGTCAATGAATTTTTTTAATTCTCCGGTCGCTATATCTAATGTTCTCTAAATGTCTGATCTGACGTGATGCTTTTGGGAAATGAAGCACTGGACTCGGGACGAGAAGAACAAATGCTTGAAGGAAACAGCAAAGGCGTTTAAGTATATGGGGCAGATAGTTCGCTTGATCATCTTGTAAAAATCTCGGTTTTAAAATTAACAATTCCTAGCACCAGATCTGTGTTAACTATGGTAAGTCTGGAATAATTTCAAAACTTTCTTTTGTCGACTGTCTCTTCACTGGAAATCAAATCTCCTCGGCAGATTACATTCCTCCAATTGGCTTACCACAGGCATTGTGCTCTCGCTAATTCAGGACAGTGCTGGAACTGAAGCTGATGACCACTAGCCTCCATGGCTGAAAGAGCAACTTTCTGTTATTTGTTGGTTTAAGTCAGCGGTAAAGAAAAGCAACCGAATTACTAATTGAAAAATGTAGCCAAAGGTTGTGGACTTGTGGGCTTGTGGCCTTTGTCTGAGGATTGATATGAGATATTGTTGTTCTTTTTCTGGTAAACATGTGAAGATATTGTTGTTCCTCAGTTTTAAGTATTTGAATATTGGGGATTTGAACACTTATCATTGCTTCTAATTCTCTGAATATAAATCAGTTATGAATCAACAGTATGAATTATTGCAAAAGCAATAAAATTGGAAAAAAAAAATATAAAGCAGAGCTTTCATGTGTGAATTGGTTGCATGAAACAGATCCTAGACTTCAAGAAGGGTGAAGATCAAACCATCTATAGAGAAGACCTTTCAGTTCGATGATACTTTTTAGCTGGGAGGTGAGAGTCCATTATGTTGTTGCTTCCTCTCATTCCTCTCCTTAAAGGTGCATATGGTTTATGTGTGTGAGAGTTTCCGACTAGTCCGGTTTCAAAGAAGAGCCGAGGAAATGGTTTCTAGTTTAGTCTTGTTCCCCACAAAATACACAACTCTAGTCACAACACCATTCTTTCATTCAAATGCTGGTAGAGTCTATCTTTGATGGCAAGCCAAGTAACAAAAGAAAACCGAGAAACAGCTTGAGTAAACCAGACGACACAGATCCACGATACTTTGTTACGCATGATTTTTGTAGATGAGAAAGAGTCTCGAAATTGTCTCCACCCAAAGCTTTGCGACAAAGAGAAGCGACATGATTTTTTTGAGTGAGATTCTGAAACTGCTAACACACCAGTTCAATCAGTTCACAACGTCATCATTTGTGGCATTCCTCTGAATCCCAATATCTAAGGGCCTATATCACCTACAATATCAAGTAGTAAAGAACCAAAATTTAGTCAAACATTAAACTAAATGATGTTACATCGATACGGAAATGATGAGGCTTGTTCACGTACTTTAAATAATTCTTTCCAATCCAAGAACTTGTCGAAGCAGACTTTACGTCCCAAAAGGAGAGACCCATAAAGAACTCGATAGGGTGAACAACCTCCATAATAAATTGGAGAAAATACTTGAGATGAATTTGAAGCCTCAAAACAAAAACAAAATTCCATGAAACTTTAACTTTGTGCTTGTTCTTTGTAGAACTAGACTACCAAAGAAAAATGATTGGGCCTTAGTGTGTAACTAAAAAAGGGGCTCAGTGGAAAAAAAGTTTTTTTTTTAAGACACGTGGAGATAAAAGTATTCATCTTCTTCATTTGGATTTGGTTTTCTCAAACGCCGGAAAAAAAGCGACCACGATTCCATTTTCACCGGCGCTTCCGTGCGACAACATCTCTCTCTCTCCCTCACAGAACTTTTTGTAATGGCATTGCTCCTTTCTTACTGCTCTCTTCAACCTCCATTATCGTCTTCTTCTTCTGTTCATTCTTCACATATCCAATCTCTGAGCAAACGAGTTTTCGCTTCTCCTGCCGTAATTCGAAATTCAATTTCCCCGTCTCTCTCTTCATCTTATTCCTCCGTTAGTAGCTCCAATTCGATTCCTCAGGTCGTCGTAACCCGAGAACGAGGCAAGAACAATCAAATCATCAAAGCTTTGGTATGCATTTTACAGTGAATTAGATTTGGGATCATGAAATTCTGTTCTTTGACTATGGAAATTTGTGGATTTATTGTACTGAATCTCTGGTGAAATGGCAGGAGAAACAAGGGATATCATCTTTAGAGCTTCCCTTGATTCAACATGCGCGAGGACCTGATTTCGATAGGCTTGCTTCTGTATTAAGTGGTGATTTCTGATGTAGCCTGACTCTAAGAACTAGTAGTGACTTCTTTACTACATTTTGCGGATTCTTGATAGTGGAGAAAAAACTCTTGCTTCATCTTATTGCTATGTTATGCTTAGTAAATGTTGTTGGATGGTTATGTTTACTCAGAATTCAAGATTGTTATTACAGTTTATGAAAAGGCTCCAGAATTGTATAGCACTGCAGATTTTGATATGTAGTCTGACGTCCTTCGTCTTATTTTGCTAGATAAGAGCTTTGATTGGATCATCATAACATCTCCAGAAGCAGGTTCTGTCTTCCTTGAGGCGTGGAGGTAAGCCCTGGTTCTTCCTCTCTTTTTGTGAAATTTGAAATATGTTGTCAGAACAAAGTTATGGAATGTGTTGCTAGTGATTGTTATTGATAGGCAATGGGACTAGTCTAGCTTTTTTATTTAGGTATTCAGATATATGTGTAATCTTCATTCATATTTCTAATACAACTCTGTAAATAGTGAGGTTTACATACAAATTCATAAACATTTCGTATTATCTTTAGAAGTTTGAAAACTTGTTCCAAATTACCCTTTTTCCCCTGAGCTAAACCTCATTGGTCTCAATTCCTTAGGGCGGCTAGCTCCCCAAAAGTGCAAATAGGTGTAGTAGGAGCTGGAACCGCCAGGGTATTTGAAGAGGCAATGCAATCGGCAGAAGGATTGCTTCATGTTGCATTTACACCATCAAAAGGTTCCGTAACTATCTATTTTAGACTCAGTTTCTATACACTCCATTTGTGCATCTTCAAGCATTTAATAGTGTACGAATTTACATTATCATTGGTTTATATGCTTGTGTGTGGCTATGGATGATGTGACCTATAACCCTTTTCATAGTTTGTTTCCATGGATCAGAGAGCATAAAAGATCATATTTAGGTTTATGAGATGATGAATTATTATTAATGATCCAAGCTACATTTGTTCAATTGTTCTCCATGGCATTCTCTCATCAATGTTTATGTATATTTTTTTGTGTTTGCTTTCATCAAGCCAATATAAATATAGGTAATGGATGAGTGGTCGTACATACAATGTTACAGGCATGGCTGGTTCATTCTCTTTGTTTCATTATTTCAGCAACGGGTAAAGTCTTGGCTTCGGAGCTTCCAGAGAAAGTTGGCAAAAGGTCCTCTGTCTTATACCCGGCTTCTCTAAAAGCAGGCAATGATATTGGTGTGTGTTGTTAGGTTTTCTCAATTCAATTGAGCTTTTTGTGTTGACCACATAGATGAAAAATATTAGGACTGAATAATATAAATACAATAGATAAGTCATATCATGTACAGTTTTATTAGGCAGTTGGATAATTCCATGTTAATTCTTGCATTGAAATAGAGATCTTCACCAATTTATAAAATCTTTGATGGAGATGCAGTAAAACTGTTAGATATGGAGAAAATAGATTTGAAAATTACAATTTTTTACTTTGGGTTTTATGTCCAAAGTGAAAGTAGTCTAAAAGTTGATAAGCATTGTAACTTTTGCACTGTCCTTTTTCCATATAGATGTATGGATTAATCCTTTGCACATGGACAACTGACTAAATCTATGTAAAATTAGCTTATGTTAATAGTTTTTGAGATTAAAAAGTCCATGACTGACCAGCTTACTCTGCTTCCTGTTCGACATATGAATCTTAGTGGAAGGGTTATCCAAACGTGGGTTTGAAGTTGTCAGGCTGAATACATACACAACAGTAAGCCGTCGTTACACTTACTAGACAAGCCCTATAAAAAGTAACTCATTGCATATATTATTTGACTTGGTCATCATTTTTATATGGGCTCACACGATTTAGTCCTTGGTATGTGCTTATTTGAAGATACTGTAATGGTCAGTTTCTTTTTTTTTTTTCTATTGCTAGGTTCCGGTGCAGAGTGTTGATACGGTGCTTCTGCAACAGGCAGTGTCTGCTCCTGTTCTTTCTGTAGCTTCACCTTCTGCAGTTCGGTAAGCGCTAACAATTGTCATCCTATCGCAACTCATCATCTGTCTGTTTTTTGATCACCTGTCATTGGTGCAGTAATACGTCATTCATATAATCTCTTCTAACATGGTCAAGTGGGTTTGGTCCATCGCTTACTTGATTTTGACAGGGCCTGGCTGAATCTGATTCAAAACGAGGAGCAATGGAGCAATTACGTTGCCTGCATTGGAGAGACAACTGCTTCAGCTGCAAAACGACTAGGACTGAAAAACGTGTACTACCCAGAACAACCAGGACTTGAAGGGTAAATCATGATCTTTTCATATGGTGGAACATGTGGACTAGGCTCTGAATTGAGTCAGTCCTCTTGTCACATAACCGATCGAATTGAGATCTATCGCCACCTGGATTTCCCATGGTTTTGTGTGTGTGGCAGGTGGGTCGAGAGCATCATGGAAGCTCTAGGTGCTCACGAAGATTCAAGAAACTCTAGCGGCAGGAATTGAATCACACTTGTGCCATTCTCTCATAGATTTTACTCTGGAGGACTTTGAATTTGGACAGTGCATGTAATTTAGAGGACATGGAAAAAGAAACCAAATGATTGTGTTGAGAAATACTCAAGCCCTTGTAAGATATCTCAGATAGCTTTGGTAGAACAGTATACACTTATTATTTGAATGCTAACATCATAAAACGAAAGACATGAAAATAAAAATCAATTTTATGTAGATGCAGCTAATCCAAAAAAGTTTTTTTTTTTTTGCGGCAAAATCAAATTTCATTAATTTTGAAAAGTATTACAAAGACATTACAATGAATTACTATAACACAATTATTATATATGCTGCCATACACTAAGAAAAATACAGCAGAAAGGAGATTGACGATGCTTTCCAGTCTTACTCGCTAACCGATCAAAAGATCTGTTATTGTCCAACTTCATATTTGATTTTTCTTTATTACGATTTGCATGCAACATCTTGTGGCTGAACTTTCTTTTTGCGAACCGTAACTGTAAACCCAATGTGTCCAAACATAACTCTGACATAGTGGTACCAAGACTTCCGTACCAAAGTCTTTTTGAAATATCTAGACTTTGTAACTTTCTGTTTAGTTCCATCATTGGAAAAATAGGTAGTACAACCCTCACATTTCCTTAAAAACATGTAAAAAACCCTCACTTTTTTAGAAGCGGTAAAATAAACCCTGATATTAATAAACTCAACTTACTTTTTAAAAAAATCGTTATACTAAAGAGAAATTGTTAAAAATGCCCCTTTTTCAATACCCCTTTTCAAAAATGCCCCTTTTGAGAGTCCATTTTTAAGTTTGCCCTCTTTTATTTTTTAATGACCATTTTACCCTTACTTGAAACAAAATTAGGTCCACAAAATACAAAATATTTTTTGGCGGGAAAAGTGATCCCGCAATTTTCCCGCCAAAACACTTGTAAAAAACCTTTAAAATACCTTGTAAAATTTTCCCGTAAAAATTTTTCCCGCCAAAAAAATTTTTTTGCGGGAAAAGTGATTCCGCAATTTTTTTGGCGAAATTTTTTTGGCGGGAAAATTTTTGGCGGGAAAAATTTACAAGGTTTTTTAAAGGTTTTACAGAGTATTTACAAGTGTTTTGTAAGGTTTTACAATGTATTTTAAAAGGTTTTACAAGGTACTTATAAGGTTTTATAAGGTATTTATAACTTGTAAAACCTTATAAAAAACTTGTAAAACCTTATAACTTGTAAAACCTTATAAAATTGCTTGTAAAATCTTATAATATCTTATAAATACCTTATAAATACGTTGTAAAACCTTTTAAAATATATTGTAAAACCTTATAAATACCCTGTAAAAAACCTTTAAAATACCTTGTAAATTTTTTCCGCCAAAAATTTAACGCCAAAAAAATTGCGGAATCACTTTTCCCGCAAAAAAAAATTTTTGGCGGGAAAATTTTTTGGCGGGAAAAAATTTTACGGGAAAATTTTACAAGGTATTTTAAAGGTTTTTATAAGTTTTTACAAGTGTTTTGGCGGGAAAAATTGCGGGATCACTTTTCCCGCCAAAAAATATTTTGTATTTTGTGGACCTAATTTTGTTATATTTCCTTATATATTTGTGATATATTTTATTAAAAGAAGGGTAATTTAGTCATTTTGTACATAAAAAGGGGTATTTTTAAAAATGGACAGCCAAAGGGGGCATTTTTGAAAAGGGGTATTGAAAAAGGGGCATTTTTGTGAGTCTCCCTATACTAAAACAGTAAGAAACAAAAGCAATTTAATTTATGATTTTTTTTCAAATTCGAATTTGCAATTTTATAAAAAAAAAAATTGAGGTTTTTGCGCTAGAAAAATTCATTCACAATTACTAGACCCAAAACATGTGTATAGTATTCTAAATTCATGACGAAAATGGATTACATCTGGTAACCCGTCTCGAATAGACGATCCTTGTTTTTTAGATACATATGTTCAGTAATTTGTTAGTCAATATAGATTTTTTTATTTTTTTAAACGAGTCAAGAAAGAATAATATGATTTTAGTAACGAAAACCTAATCTTGTAGTTAACTTGTTAACTAGTTAATTCATATTTTATTTTCAATTATCTTATTTGATTGCTCAACTAGATAATATTTTAGTTATTGTGCTAGTTAATTAATATGTCAATTTCTGTCATGTTCTACCCAATTCTTTTGTTATCAAATTCATAGTTTTCTTGTCATATTTTGTCATATTCCACCAAACAATAATAAATAATTTATACCACACTCTATATTTAGCCAAATTTAGTGATTATCATTTAAATCATTAATATTCTCTATACTATATAAATTATATAATATAATAAAATATATGGATGTATTTTTGCTTACGTGTCACTACAATCATTTTTCAAATAATTTTGATTTCTATTAATCACAAAAACACTATAATGTAAAATAATAAATAATTCAAATTTTTAATAAAAACCGTAAAATATTCAATCTTATATATGTCATGATATGTTAAAAATTAACATTTTGATTTTGGAAAACATTTGTTGGTCCATATGGATTAAATGTAATAAAAATAATTATTTATTTTATATATAAACCAAAACCAAAAAAAATTATTAATGCAAACAATTTTATATTCTAATTACTCAAAAAAATATACTTATCTTTTATTATATAATGACATTGTTTATTAAAAGAAATTCTTGAAAATACATCATACTTTAAAGTTTTATTGCTAGAATACTACTATTACAGTAGTTTAAAATTTCAAAAATTCCACCAAAAGTTTTGGTTTTTCAAGAATATCAAAAACATACAAATTAATTCAAAAGGTTTAGCATTTAATTTTCTAAGTTTGTGTTCATTATTTTTAAATCTATGGTATGATTTTTAGAGGATAGAGTTTAGATAGTTTTCAAAATTTAAAGTTTAAAGTTTAATTTTAGTTTTATATTATTTTAGAGAAAACTAATAATTTAATATATTTTAAATGATTCAAAACTTAAGTGTACTATTTTCGAGAATTGTTCTATTAACCTAAACTTATAAATTATCTTATGCATGGGCACGATCATCATCTAGTAGTATACCTCTTAATTGACGACAAAAACAAAATGTTCCTTATCCAGTATCAAGATGAATCGTGTGAACTCAATTCTACGTAGAACACAAAAGTCCTCTCGTTTGGTCACTGAATTAATTTGAACGACATTATTTATTAGGACCACCGGTTAAATTGGCCTCGTGATCTAAATATGCTTCCGAATGGTCCAACAACCATGTGGTCAATGCCGACTATGAAAATGACTGAAAATTCAAAACATGAAAGTGGGTTACCACCACTTATCATTATGTTCCAAATCTTTTACATTAAACAACTTTATTTCGACACATGCGGTCTGAAAGGGCGGCCTATTAATTTACGTTAATCGTTTACTATTATTATTCTTTTGGAATATTTCCAACAAAATCAATCTAGTTGGTTTCCAATTCTCATCACATATTATATTTTGTAGTTTAAAGTCTTTTAATTCAGTAGTCTAACTGAATAAAACATATGACTTCGAACAGATTGATATAGACCACTCAATCTAAGGGCATGGGCAGTGGAGCATCTTCACGGGTGTAAGTGGTAATAAAAAAAACAAAAAATTGTCTCTCTCTTCACATCCGGGTGTAAGTTTACACTCGGGTGTAACACTCACTCACTCTCTCTCTCTCTTCTTTCTCTCTCTCTTTTCTCTTTTTTAGACAACTTTTGCCTTAAATCAATTTTTTTTTAATACTTACACCCCCCCCAAACAAATGCCCCACTGCCCTTGGTCTAATAATATCGGTTTTGCTACGATATAGTATACATAAAAAAAAAAAAAAAGCTAGTTGGATAGTTAAAAAAATTAAATGCTAGAAGAATGTTGGATTTATCAAAAAAATAAAATTAATATTTTTAGAGAAAACATCGTAATGGACCTTTTTCCAAAAATAAATTCTTGAGTTAGCAAAAAAATATTATTAGCCTGACCAAACTCTTTTTATTTCTTCTTACCAAAAAAAAAAACTCTTTTTATTTCTTTAAACAACGATAGTAAGATCTAAATTTTAATAAACCACTGTCCAATGTTTATTTAATATTTTCATAAATGGGCAAAAAACGACTAGTTGGTGTATGTGTTTTCTTTGAATAAAGCTCAACAAACAAAAATTATAAGTCATTACGTAAAACTAAGGAAATAATAGGTTTCTTTTGCAAATTACTCACATGTTGCCAAAAGTTGTTTTTTTATATTTTATGTTTGGTCAGCGAAAACGGTCTAAGCTCTCTCTTTCCTCTCGGCTTCCTTTGATGATCCTTTTTAGTTCCCTTCTTCTCATTGCTCTTGAGACCATCTCCGAACTCAACGGAAATCAGAAACAATGGAAGTGATGAGTTTGACTGCTCCATCTTCACCGAGACAATTCTCCGGCTGCTTCTTAAGCGCACCAACAAGCCCTAGAAGAATCACTGAGTTTTACAGAGAGTTCGAAGAGGCCACAACAAGAAACTTCTCCGACCGTCTTACGGTTCCTTTTGATTGGGAAGAGACTCCAGGAACTCCTAGGACGATCATCAACGATGACGACGACGATATTGTCGATGATTTCGCTTTCGAGATTGGTGGGAAACTCGAAACGACGTCGCTTTTTGCTGAAGAGCTTTTTGATGGAGGCAAAATCAAACCCTTGAAGCCTCCTCCGTATTTACAATTAGACCATCAGCATCAGCCTCAGGTTTTATCTCCAAGGTCTCCAAGATCACCTATTGCTCATGGTAAGAACATTATCCGCAAAGCTTTTTCCCCAAGAAAGAAACCGGAAAACGTGGATCCTTTTGAGGTGGCCATGGATAAAGCTCGGAATGGCGTAGGAGAGGAAAGAGGGAGAGGGAGACGTCAAAACTCGGGTCGTAGAGTTGCTCGATCACTTTCTCCTTTTCGGGTTTCGGCTTATCCATGGGAAGAACAAGAACAGGAACAGAGAGAGGTACAAGAACAGAGGAAAGGGACCTTATCTTCTATTCCATCTACATCTTCATCAACTTGCGTGTCTTGCAAGTCATCTTCCTCAAAGAAATGGAGGCTAAAGGACTTTCTTCTGTTTCGAAGCGCGTCAGAAGGAAGAGCAAGGCACAACAAAGATTCGGTAAAGACGTTTTCAAGTTTGTTTAGGAAGCAAGAAGACACCAAGAACTCGAGTTCACGAGGAAGAGGGTCATCATCTGTCTCCGCCCATGAATTCCATTACATGGCTAAGAAAGCAGAAACTAAAGATTTGAAGAAGAAGACTTTCTTGCCTTACATGCAAATAGGACGATTCGCCTTCTAATTTAATTCTTCCAAAGCCAAAAGTAAAAAGATTTATTTGTTTGTTCAATTATGTTATCTGAAGGACCAAGTCTCTTCTTCTCTCTTGTGTGGTTGATTTGTGTTGGGAAGCTTGTAGAAATTAACGTTTTTTGTGCACATTACTTTTGCTATATGCATTAGTGCGACTCACAATATGTGACTGTCCATCTTTTACATTTACACACAAAATAAAGTCTCGGACTTAAGTTTTGTCTTTACGAGATTTGTTCTATATAATTATAAAGAGTTGTTCTACTAGTCTAACATGGTTAATTATACAAATAGTTATTTGATGAAAATCTATGAGTTTTCTTTTTTTCTCAAGTCAAACTCCAACTAAAATATTGTTTCTTAGATTTTTCTAAATATTCAATTTTAAATTCTAGCAATCTCCAACTTTAAATAGTTGGGTTTCTTGTCTTGATTCTTCTTCCTTTATGTAATGTTTTGTGTTGGTCTCGATTCAAGTTCTTCATCTTTTCCATGTTCATGCTTTCATTCATATGGTCCTTTCAACCTTTGGCATGCGATCCAAGTGATCACGTTGCATTCTTTATGAAGGTCGTCTTTATAATTGTTTATAAAGTTTTAGAGAACCTCAACTACGAAGCTCTAATGTAGATATTTGAAATATTAAAAAGAAAAATAATAGAAAAGGAAAAGAGAAAATAAGAAAAGGTTCTTATTCAAGATACCAATGAATAAATTAAATCAATTAGTTACAATTAAATTGATCTATAGTAAAAACAAATCAAGAAAAAATATTGGAAAGACTTAAATAAACTTGGGTTGAAATGGGAACATTTTGGTGTTAAACCACTAAGCTAACTTCATTATTAGTTACATGGTGCTAGCTTATATAATATTTATAGAATTGAGTATGGGGCACATGCCCCACCTAAGACCAACGTGGGTCCGTAGACCTTAAACATGTTCCAAGGTTCAGATAGGTTACTTGTGACCATCTTTCTTGAGTATTAAAATCTTGTTCCTATGTGTCGTAATCCTTTTTCGTGGGATGTATATGCGGATTTGTTCTTGAACGTATATTTTACGTGTTTCATATCATGGCTGATAAATGGTTCATGATTTTGTAGAAAAAAATTGGTTTGATTATGTAGTTGGAGTCTGGATAGCCTCATCCGCTTGGCATTTTCAATCACCTTTTGCGAAGAATTAAACTGATTAGCCTTAGTTAGAAGTTTAGGTTTGAATGCGGAAACAAGAACTATCAACACCAAGAATCAAAGAGTTTCTCTCCGAACTAGAGAGTATGTCTCGTGCAAGGACCAACTCTTGCAAACATCCACTAAAAATCTAAAAATAATTTTCAATACAATTCTCTTTATCTCTTTATCTCACGCTCACATTGTTTCTATCCAATAGGTACCTCTAGAAGAATCAAGCAAACTTGGAACTTATTCTCTTGCTTCAACGCAAGAACAACCAAACAAGAAACCTATCTAACCTGAAGCTCTTTAAAGATAAAACTTATCAAGAATTCTCTAAACCCGAAAATTTTCTCTCTAACTTTGTCTCTCTATTGCTTATTTATGTTGTGATGATCAATTTGTGAATCCTTTGCTTATATAGAACTTGTAAGACCACCTATTCCAAATTAGAAATTGATTTGAATTTTATTTTCTCTTTTGCAATAGAAAACCACATAACACTTTATGGGCTTGCCCATGTCTTGATTTCATTTTTGGCCCAGCTTTGGCCTAACTCTAGCGACGACCCGGTTCATTGACCTGAATCCGACTTGACCCGATGAAACTATAACTCATACCTTTAATGTGGAATGTGTTTTAGATATCAAACCTTGAAGATATATGTTCTGATCTTCCATAAGGCCTTAGCGGAATGACATGTGTGGGAAGATAGTAATGAACAGCGGCTTGATCTCAAAGTTTGATTTATCCACTGATGGTGGTGGGCATGCATCCATTCACTTCAGCCAAATCAAGTGGTTTGTCGAGGTCATCCATCGTTCTTCCACTCTTCTCTTTTGGTGTGTGCACTTTTGCCATTCCTCTAGACTTGATCTTAGTCAACTCCAAAACATGAACAAATTAACTCATTTCCATAATCATATTCCTTCTATTGACAACCTAATTAGATCAAACTTCCATTTGCAATTAGGCAATAAAAAAAACATGAAATTCAAATCACCCAAATCTATTGTTATTGGCTAGGTATGAAAACTTTGATATTTTATTGAACACCTCTGGACACAAAATGTTCAAGCTCTAGATTTTAATTAGAAAAATCAATTCTAGCATTAAGAGAAACGTTTAATTTTTTTTTGCTTCTATAGAGAATGTATTAGAAAAGTAAGAAGAAAGGATGTGCTTCAATATCTGATTTGTCTCTTTTGAGGATCTTAACAAATTTAATCATCGCTTATAGATCACTTTCTAAACAGTAATAGTCAAACTGCAATTTATATTGCTTCTAACCTGATGTTCACTGGAAAAAACTAACATATAGAAGTTAATTATCACTTTATTTAAGACCTCACAATTGGTTGACATTTTTACGTACAAAACCTGTCTTTGTAAAATAAAAAATGTGTAACAAGCTTGGTATGTTCGATTCTAACACATCAAAATTGCAAGGAATATTGGCCTAGAAGAAGATGGAGGAAAAATCTCATGAAAAAAAAAAAAAAAAGAAAGAAAACTAAAATAGTCAAATAAGAAAATGGAAGTAATGATTTAACGGCTACAAATCCAACTTAAACAATACTTATTAAATATTTCCTTATATATTTCCTTGATTTATTATTTGTACCCATTGCTCTATCCTGTTATTTGGGTGCATCAAACGAAATCAGAATCAATAAGGAAAAAAAGTACTTTAAGCAAGCCGTGTATTATTCTCTTTATATACGTCCCTTCATTACTTTTATCCTCTGAATTTTCTTTTATCTTCGGTATAAACCACTAATACATGAAAGAAATCAAATACTAAAAGATAAAAAAGTGCATAAAGAGAAAAACAAAATCTAGAGCGCCATTTTCAATAACTTTGACCGCTTTGGGATCAAACTCGTGAAATTTTCAATTACATTGGCTAACTTTTAACCAACACAAAAAAAAGAATCAAAAGAGAAAAACTAATCAAGAATGAGCTGATGATGGTGTTTGTGGTGGAGGCTCATGGTCTAAAGAGTCTTGTTTCTCTCCATCAGTCTCACCTAGATCTGCCACGTGTCCTTCAGATTCAGCAGAGACGCCGGAAGAAGTGTGGTGCAAAGGCTGAGGAGGCGGAGGCGACGGAGACGGCCGGTGAAGAATGATGTGGCCGTCGATACAAGAACCGCATCTACTCTCAGCCCATCTCTCCATATCGTAATCTCCATACCCTAAGATGGTTTTGCCGGAGCAAAGCCGTCCAATAACACTAGCGAGAACGCAGAGAACGGTGACGACGATAAAAACGGCGATAAAAGGACCAATGGTGGAGTTTCCGGCGGAGGAGACGGAGGATGAGTGTTGTGGAACCTCCGTAGCTGGTGGTGGTTGCCAGTACAATGGCATTGACGCCATTGTTGATAGAAGAAGGAGAGACACTCAAGTTAATGTGAAGAAGAAGGATCTCAAATTTGCCTTCTTAAATGGTGAATTTTGAGAAAACTTTTATATTAATATTTATTTTATTTTAAGGGGAAAATAAATGAAAATGGTGAAGACAGTGCATTAACCTGCAGGAGAGAGGCCTAAGGGTCTGTTAAAAAGGACAAGAGCTGGAGAATCTATCAGAAAAACAAGAGACTTCAGGTCAAAATTTGAAATTTGGACCGAGAACGACAACACTATTTCAAAAAAAAATCTTAGTAATTAAGGATATTGATATTTTACCTTAATTTAATAAATAAATGAGAGTAAGTTTTGGTTATTTTTGTTTAATTTTGGTCTTTGGGCGAACTCACTTTTTCAGGTACTGTCTGAAGCTATAGCGTAAACATGGAAATTGGAAAACAACGTTGTCATTTGTGTTAAGTGGCATCCACTAAGCTTAGTTGTGTTGGCTTCTTTCCCTACTCTCTCTTGAGGCGCGTGACTCCACTCTAGAAATTTTATTGGTTGGATACCTTCGTTTTTTTTTGGGCAAACTGAACTTGATTAAAAGTAACAATGTTTTACACTGCAAGAGAGGAGGAAATGGAAAGAGCAACAAGGGCTGACAAAGCTAAGCAGTCGGCTAAAGTACTTTCTTTAGCGTAGATGAGTGAAACTAGGACATGAGAGTCCCACAACACCGTTAGAGAGGCAAAATATAACACCCGTCCCGTCACAAAGGACATGACTAAATGTTATTTATTTGGTTTTATCAAAACGTTTCTTTCTTAAAAGTTCACCAACGAACAAACTTCAAACTGCTTGAAATTTACTACGCTGGAGAAAAAAGGAAAAAGGACTAAGTAAAACAAGTTTACTCAGTGAAGAGATCAATTTTGCCAACTGGACATACAATAAACACGTTCCAAACATAATCAACCACCATTACTTAGCACAGATTCAGAATGTCTATCAATCAGTATTCTAAAATACGCCCTACGCGGCCGTATATACGGTAGCTATACGACATTATATGGCTCAATACGGCCGTGTATACGGTGCCGCTTATAAAAATACAATTGTCATTATGTTATTATTTTCTTGAGAGTTGGAGTTTAGCGTGAGACTTCTTTTATTTTATATTTTAGTGTCATGTAGAATTTTAGTTTCTTTTGACAATTGTTTGTTTAGAGCTTTTCACTCAAACAATTTTTTTAATGATATTATATATATTTGCAATATATTTATATATTATATATATATAATTATAAAAATATATTTACCGTATATACCCAGCATATACAGCTGCATATACAGTTAGGCGCTATACGGTGTTCCGCCGCCCGACTACCGCCTAGCATATTTTAGAACACTAGTATCAATCAAACAAACAAGCATTCGTCTTGCTCACAACAAGATATTTTACTTACATTTTTAGTTTCAAGTATTTTAACTTATGGATATTCAAGCCTCTTTCAACTTATGGCTACTCAAACCTACTTATGGAAGACCACGGCCCGTAGCTCGATCCTTCTCTTTATTGCTCGTCAGCGGTTAATGACCTGCAATGATCCCGTCGGTCCACTACAGTCCAACATCCTTAAGTATCCTTCTCATACTCTTTAGTTTTCTCTTCTCATACATATACATAATCATTTTTATAATTTAATATACGTAAATCATGATATCAAATCATGTCACTAATGTATTTCACATATCATGTTATTAACAACTTAGCTTTATCCCACTGTTGAATTCTTAGCTTGCAGTACCATTAAACCCTCCACAAAGTTTCATCTCGATCTGATTACTTTTAAACCTCCAAACGTCGCCTTGAAGAAGCCCACTCAGAACTGCTTTTTAGGTTTTCAGATTTGATCAGTTTCAGCTATTACTTGACCCGAAAGCAACGATCATAAATGCTTGAGTTCAAATCCGATTGACGCTCCGTTAGTTTAAATGCGATTGAGGCTCCTGCAATGTTTGGGCTCCTGCAATCATTTATATATCTTATATAATATGACAAGGTTTTTTTTAAGAATCTCTATTATCATGCCATTTGGCATCCTATGCATATGACATGTGTCCCTCTCCAATTAATGGTAATTAGTGGTGATTAATTTGTAATTATATTGTGGAAATAAATGGATGATTTTGAAAACTACCCTATTTTTTAGTTTTCGTTTGAAAAATACCCTTTCTCAATTTCTAATGATAATTACAAATTTTTATATGTAAAATGACAATTTCATCTATATTTAAATTGAAAGCTGTATTTTTAGTAAAATTATAACTAAATTAGAAAATTGAGAGAAAAATTTAAAATAATATTAATTATCCTTATAATTATTTTTTGAGATAAAGATAGTTTATTTATTTTATATATTAAATTTAATAAGATAATATCTAAAAATATTAAAAAGTCTATAAGTCTATCCCTTAATATTGTATAAACAAACAAAACTCAACGTAACAATCAAATTCTTCAACTCCAAAGTCTGCTCCAATTTCAAGGTTAACGTAGATTACGACTTAACATTGGTAGAATGATGTAATATACATGTATCATTGATTAAATCAACGTACGGCTTATAGCTCTAACATAATATTCTTTGTTTTATTTACATGTGTTATCGATTAGAGATGGAGTACCAAAAACTAATGGAAATCCAATCAAAAGTAATTTTAGTCAAGAGATTTTAAAAGTAATGATGAACTATTAAATTTTAATCAAATGTAGGAACATGAGTCACTTGATAGGTGAATTCACAATTATTTTAGATTGTTTAAAAGAAATATTTAAGATAAGAATTATTAAAATTATTAGTTATTTCAAATATTAATTTCAAAACTAAATTAATAGATTTTCTGTTTGATGTATAAATTCTTCTTAATTAATATTAAATAGCCATTTTGGTAATTTAGGGGTGCTATTCAATGATGGAGTTAAAGTCAGTTCTTTAAAGTTTAGATTTGCTTTCTGAGATTGTTTTTAAGAATCTGTTTGTCTGGATTTCAAAATCTCTGCAGTATATCTTGGATTGTTTACTCATGAAACTCCAAAGAGATTTCATTTCAAATGATTTAATATACAAAGATATTACAAGTCTTTTAGTTTTGAATAACACTGGATTTTAATGAAGTATTTTAAATCTTAGTTAAATCTTATTTTTGAAAATACACAAAAGAAGGGGACATTTTTTAAATATGGCACACCAAAAAGTGCATTTTCAAAAATAAAATATAATAATAAGGTCTTGCAAATTATTTATTATAAAGTGAAGGGATAATATGAAATAAATAATATAGCATCTTATCTATTTCTAAACTATTTTAATTTTTCTTATAACTTTGAATGATGAAAAAAAAACAATGACAAAATTTAGGATTTTTTTTGAGCATTTAAAGACAAAGAAAAAAGACCACATGTCGTGAAAAAGAAATTAAGAACTTCATGACGGGCTCATTTTTTAATTAGAATTAATGGTCAAACCATTATCTACACTTTTGTTATAGAAAAAAAGAAGGAGAAGATGATGATAGAGTTGAAGGATAAAATCTAATATTTGAGATTATGATCACTGATTTTTTCGTTGAAAGATGGGTATTTTTTCTTTTCCAAAAAACGTCTACTTTTTATTCTTTGTTGACCTTTTTCCTTCAGAAAAGTTTTCCTTCAGAAAAAGTTTATTACATACTAATTTTTACTTTCAAAATAAATTTTATAATGTATATGCCAATACTTTCTATTTTTAGCCACTCTACGTACTTTACCTTTCTTTATAACAAAATTCTTAAACTCATAACAAAAGGAATAACTAAAGTGTTAAACAAATTCATGTATAATTATTTGGAAGGACATCAAAACCTATTATTGTTCTATATATAATTATAGAATATATATATATATATATAATTATAAAAATATATTTACCGTATATACCAGCATACACAGCCGCATATACAGTTAGGCGCTATACGGTGATCCGTCGCCCGACTACTGCCTTGAGAGTAAACTACCGCCGTAGCGCAGGTTTTTATCTAGTAATAACAATAATAATAAATAGTGTGGTTGTCTAATAAGACATGATTACCTTATTCACTAAGCATTCTTCAAATATATACTTGTTTTTCTTGGATACAAGAAAAAAGGCTATCCATAATATAACCACAGTGATTGAATCTAACACGCGAGACTTAAGATAATGAATGGAAAAAGAATAATGTAAGTTTGTATATGAAGTATGAACACTTGTCCAAAATGTAAAGTTAATGATAGGAAAGGCAAAGTAAAATCTAGTAACACAAGTTATAGTTTGTAAAATAGCTTTCTCCATCAAAGGCCTATGTTCATTTTTTATTCATTGGACTCAATCTTTCCCCAATGAACCTACAAGATATGCACATATCTTACATTTCCAAACACAGAAGAAACGTTCAGGGGTTTCAAAGGAACCGTGTCGGTATTAACTCGTTGATTCTAAGGGGCATACTATAGAACTCATCGTTCCTGGTGTCTCCGTTCCTGTGCTGGAAGGGCTTCCACCATGAGATTCCTCTTGCCTCACTTGCATGTCTCGCTTCCAACGTGTTATCTAGTATGGTCGCAAGAATGGTTGCCACCAAAGGAGCCGAAGCAAATATCGTGTTAAGTATATCGTTGAACTGCACCACAAGTCACCACGACATCATATTAAGAAAAAGAAACATTATATAGTATAAGTATTATATCACTCTTTATACTACAGTTAATTGGTGTTTAAAACAATGGTTTTTTGAAATACTTACCCATCCACCTGCTGTTCTAACCGGTCCATATCCTGCTCTTGAAGTGTTGGCAAGAAAGTACTGAGCGATGGAAAGACTTAAAAAGAGAGAGACACCAATGACGTACATGTTTCTCATTGAATTGGTGTCAGTAAACTGTATAAACGATATTCCAACAGCAACTGGGCCAATCACATAACAATAGTATCAGAATTAAGCATCCCCGACTTTTGCGAGAAATCAAGAAGTGTAGATTCATAGAGAAAATGCTACTCACCAACAATTCCAAGTAGTATACAGTATATGCCTGCAAAGATTGGAAGCGGGATAGACGCAAAGAAGGCGCCGAATTTTCCTGAAAATTGTTGAAAACACGAGGATTTAATGCCAAGAACGGCTACTTTCTATAAACTGAACTTAGTCAAGATGACTGATTGGGGGTTGAAAGACTAACCAAATATGGAGAAAAATATCATGAAACCCGTTGAAATCTGCACCACTCGTCTACTCCCTATTCGTGTGAGGCCAAGGAGACCGACATTTTCCCTGTATATATATCATCAAGATCAATAATACTTCCTTTGTAGATATTCTGAAAGGATAGTAGAACATGTAGCGAGGAGAGGTACTTAGAACTTACACTGAAGCGGTATTGCCACTAATGGAACCAAATATTCCTTCAAGGAGCACACCAATACCCTATAAGGAAAATATAACATTTTATAGCCTTATAATCAGAACATTAGAAGAGGGATAGAGAATGAAAAGATAAAAAGACTTTCTTAATGTCTGGGAATAAAACCTGTAGCCCGATACTACGAGACACGACGTGTGCTGGAGGCGCTGTTGCTCCTGCTAGTCTAGATGCAGCGAAAAATACACCGGTAGACTAGAAAAATAGGATGTGCATCATATAAGAACAATCTGTAGCTAGAAACTAATACTGATGAATATTAATCACAGGTCATAAATTTGTACCTCTGCAGATGCGACAATCGCAGCACCAAACATTCCAAAAACATGACTCGCTTTGAATATCGGAGTCCCCCACTGGAACGGATATGGGATTCTAATCCTGCAAAATGAGTTTGAGTGACTGGCTATACAGATATTTTAATATTTAGCCTCAGAAGAAAAGAAGAATCAAGAAAAAACAGTAATTAATCAACCTACCAGGGAGCTGATGACATAAGAAAGGCACGATCCGTGCGACAACTTTGTTTTGTCGCAGTAGAAACATTGTTATAAGCACCAGAAACAGTAAGGATAGCGGCAAAAGCCCATATGATAGCCAGGCAAACAAGTAAAGCATATCTTTCAAGAATCATAGAAATCCTTGAGAAGGCATGTTTAAGATACTGCAAGATGGACAGCAAGATTCAATATTATGTATCCAAAAAATCACCATCATATATAGCGTGAAAAAGAATAAAAAGCCTGACTTGCTGTGAGATGATCAACAGAATCAGCATTGGTAGACCGATTTCCACACAGTTTGCAAGCTGTAAAAAGCCCAAAAGATCACATAATGACTTAAGGAAAGTTGTTAAAAGTTGCTAAAGCTGAAATTTTATATGAAACTGTTACCAATGGGAAGCCTCTAAGGAACAGGCCAAGGCTCACAACAGAAACAACTGGTACAACAATGATGGGAGTAAAGATTCTGCATTAAATGTTAGAACTTTCATTAGGTTCTAAACCAGCAAAATTATATTGATTTTTTTTATATTACCTTATTAAGTTCCCCCATGCCTGACCATATCCGATTATGATGTTGACGAATGAAGAAATGATTAGTGATCCTTGAACGGTTCTCATAGTATGTCGGAATCTCTATAAGGAAAATGGCATTTGTCAAGTTAAAAACAAGAAAACGAAGCAAACGTAGCGCGCACGTATAAAATGAGCTTTAACCTGTTTCTCGGAATCAAATTGACCATCATTGTAATCTCTGATTATAGACAATACAGGAAGAACATACGCGAACGAAACTCCCATAACCGTTGGAAGCCTTGTCCCTATAAGCGTTTGTAGCAACGTGTTAATTCCTGACATAAACAATATAGTCTGGATAACCCGCGCTTTATCACCCTGTTATCGTTCAAAATACCAAACGGTCGATTTCAGAATCTTATAATAACATAAATATTCGACAACCGGATACAAAAACCAAAAACAAAACATACAGCATCTCCACCCATTGGTGGCACCAGTGTGTTGGCAATCAAAACAGTAGTCCCGAGCATAACGATGTAATGCTGGAAAGCCAGTACAACCGTCTCATCTGTAACGAAACCCGAAAATTCATTGTTAATGGAAATGAAACAAATCAGTTCTTAAATGGAAAGAATAATACAATCTCCACCATGTTACAAAATCCCTTAAAATGACATTTCTTGTAATGGTAACACACTAATTGCATTTCATTTTCCATGACCAGTGTTGGTATAAACCCAACCCCACACTTATAACTGCTAATGATTCAACTCTTATAGCATTTTGGATTCACCAACTCCATAAACTAGTGATAACCATTTTATTTTAATCTAAATCAGTTAGTATGTCTCAAGAACAATTATACAACATTTATAAATATTTGTAAAGCTAATTAGACCAAACACAAGCTAAAATATAAGTCAAAAACAGAGGAAATATAAAGAATCGAATCAGATTCTGAGATCTAAAATATTCTTTTGGGAAACAAATTAAGACACAACATAAAGCAGATAAGGAGAGAGACAGAAGTGAACTCATGTAACTTTTGACTTTAAAAAAAATTATTTTTTACATCTGAATCAAAATTAAAGAAATCAAGAAAGTAGTGGAAGCAAAGAGAGACTAACGCCAAGAAGGATTAGAGTGGATGCAATATTGAAGATGATGAAGTTGCTCCGCCGGTGGCCAAGTGGGTCCTCTGCTAACGGCCATCGCCATGGATGGAACCGGCGGATGACCGGCTGCAGCCGGTGCCGGTGGATGTTGATGATGGTGACCAGTTTCAACCATTCTTTTTTATTAAAAATCTTCTCTTTTTAGTTTTTTTGAAAGGATCTTGAGATAAAAAGTTTAAGAATCTATCTTCTTTTTTTTTTAAGTTGCAGAAAGTTTTTCCAAATCAAACCGACAAAGAGAAGATGATAAAAAGAAGTTAGCAGGAGAAAAAGCGAATCTCGAGACTACAGAATTATTAAGATAAATATAAAAAGTCACTTGTTTGATTTGTGGGAGAAGGAACAGAGGATTTTTATTTATCTATTTGAGTAAATAAAGTTTCTTTATTTTTGTTCAAAGTTCAAGAATAAAGTATTAATTCTCAGTTAGGTGTAAGTTTTAATTGTTTATTTTGAAATGTACTTGTAATAATTATTAATAGGAATATTGAAGTTTCTTTTGTTATCCTCTTGTTGTCTTTATTAGCATTCCTTTATTTTTTCTTTTTCTTATCACTCTTTTTTTTTTTTTTTGGTGAAGTTCTTATCACTCTTTTTAATAGTCTTGTGATGTTATTACGAATTTTGAAATTCTACTACCTCATTTGTTTCTTAAATTTAAAATTAGGTTTATATATAACTGTTTTAAAAAATAAACTCAAAAGCCACTTTGAAATCAACCCCCAAAATTTTAATAGCATACACATAGGTATCGGTATCAAATATACGAATTTTAATGAAAAATTTCTGAAACTATTGATAAATTATATTACATTTCAAGTAAGATGGTAAATAAAAGAAAATTTTTCTAATACCATATTCGTTAACAAAAATATGCATTATGTCTAAATGTCACAAATTTGCGGCGTATATTTTTCGTCTTAAACATTCGTCTCAATAAGACCAATTTCTTGGATATTGTACCGTTAAAATTTTAAACAATCGCTATTAAATGTATGCGTAGTTTTTTTTTAGACAAAAAAAAAATGTGATTGTTTTAAAAGCGATAGAAAAACATGATATAATCGATTAAAATATAAATGATCAATTAATCTATTACCTATTAAATTGCTTAAAACGAATGAAATTAAAAAAATTGATGTAAATTTTATAAAACTAAATGCATCTGATATATAAAAAACATGATGACGAATATTTCACAAAATATTCAGATTTTAAATGGATATTAGATGCATCTGATATTCAGGTTGTTTAAGAAAAAACAATTCCAAGACTGTCTCCTCTGGTTAAGATCACCTTCTCAAGACAAGAATTTGTCTCTTATTATTAAACTCCTCTATCAAGCCTCGGTTTATGCAATTTGGAAAGAGCGTAACAGCAGGATTCACTCGGGTTCTTACTTGACCCCTGCAGTCATTATCAGGGAGATTCAGCTTACACTCAGAGCTCGCCTTGACCTGTTATCTCGTTGTCAAGGCATTAATCCTCGTTCTGGTACTCTACTTGCTTCTTGGTTTAACCTGTTTCAGTTTCGGCGTCGTTAGTGGCTGAGGTGGCGGGTTTTTGCTGTGGTTGCAGGTTCTTCCGCTGTAAGTGTTTTTTTTTTTTTTTTTTTTTTTTTTTTTTTTTTTTTTTTTTTTTTTTTAATCTTGTTGGCCTTGTGGCCGTCTTGGACCTTCGGGCTTTGTAATGTTTTTATTATTAATGGAAGTTTAAAGTTTTAAAAAAAAAATAATAAAAAAAAAAGAAAAGAAAAAACAAAACGTTATTTATGTTTATAGAAAATACACACATATTTAAGAAGCTAAAATATAAAACATAGATTTAATGACTGATTAATAAAAAAAATATTAATGTATGTTTATGATAAATTTTTAATTAAAAAATTTATTTGAGATGTTTAAAATGAATTGACCTATACTTAAAAAACTTTTGTACTGAAATCACTTACTCTAATATTTTAGTCAAAATATACTACAAATCTTTTCTTACTAATTTGGGTGTGGCATTTCGCACCAAAAAAAAAAAAAAACTAATTTGGGAGGGGTACACTACAAGTACACTTATTTTTGTAATCGTATTAAATCTTAGGTTGTTGTACATTCAAGTTATGGCCACCGACTAGAACTGACGAGAAGCTTGTTAATTTAATTAATGTAAAATAAAGCAATACGCAACACATCACAATAATTGAATCTATATTCGATGTTATTATACTCAAAATCAGTACGATCAACTACGTTTGAATAATATAATATTAATTCACTTAGCCATGCTGTATTATGTGTGCCTTTTCCATGATTTCATCAATTGTTTATCCTCATTTCACGTTTGTTTACTGCTTTGATGACAATATATGACCTCTTCAATGGCGAACTTGACTTTGATTCACCACCTACGAAGATTAAGACTCGTGCCTTGATTTTTATACAATTTTTATTTTATTTATTTGTAAATAACTTATCGTCTTATTGATATACTTTTTTTTTTCTGTTTCGCTTAGATGATGTTTATACATAATTATGCATACAAAATTTTAGAAAGTCATCATAATATTATCGTAGATAAAAGACTAAAATAACAATATCATTGACTACAAATTCTTTTAATATTAGATGTATTCATAAGATTATATAGTATATGATAATTTTTTCTCTCATAACATCAAGAAATGTTTTTAGGATCATACATTTCAAAGTTTGAATATTGTGTTAGTGGATCTTAGATCAAGTATTATCAGGGATTCAGGATCGCCTCTTAGCATAGCTAGACATGAAATATGGTTTAAGACCACAATTTTGTAAGGCTCGTTAAAAAACATTAATATACAAATAGGTCCATGTTATAAAACTATAACAAAATATATGTATATATTTGAGGTAATGAAATTAATAAAGAGAGAGAAAGGTGGAGAGGACGAGTAGAGGAGTGAAAACAAAAGCACAACTTTATTTCTCCTCATCTTATTTCTTTCCAACGTTTACAAGACACTATATATAGGGAGGTAAGGGATAGGGATAAGTTACTTAATATTGAAGTAACTTTGCTTGGAGCCAAAGCTTATATAAAGATATATTATCCTAATGGATAATCACATATATGCCTATCTATTTTATAACACTCCCCCTTGATTATCCATTATTCAGTATATTGCATACTGCCTCGTTAAAAACCTTATCATAGAAAAATCCAGTGGGATAAAAACCATGATAAGGAAAAGAGTACAGTGACGCAATTTCCCCCTGGAACAGCCGAATCTTGTTTTCTTCATAGGTTTCGTAGATGATGCATCTTAATCATTCTCTTCGTTCCTTCTGATCTCGTCAATATATGACAAAGATTTTGGCAGAAAGATAGACCTTCTCTTAATGTCTATCTTTTGCGTGTTATTTGCTGCCTCGTTAAAAACCTTGTCATGGAAAAACCCAGTGGGATAAAAACCATGATAAGGAAAAAAGAGTGCAGCCACGCACATCATCATATGTCTCCCCCTGGAAACATCATCTTCAAAAGAGATCTTTTGATCTGCGAAGATGCTTTAAAATGTTGTAGCAGGAAGCGCCTTTGAACTGAAACTGCTACATTGTTACTTGGCAGGATATACCGAACATCAACTTCCTGCTTCTTCTCAGATTCTTGGGTGCAAGAGAAGAATCTTAGAGAAATATGTCTTGTCATCTCGCTCTTGACATAACTTCCTTTGAATTGGGAAACATTTGCAGCAGTGTCTTGTTGTTGGCTCTTCATTGGTGCCTATATTGCTTGCTTCTTGTCTATTTTGAGTGCATCAATCTGAGCCATACTGATTTTTGACATGCTTCATGGAGCGCAATAATTTTGGCATGGCTTAAGCAAGCGGCGACCAAAATTTGTTGTTGGAAACGCCACGAAGTTGTTGTTTTGCAATATATATTTATATAGATCCTCCATCTGCAAAACCAACTAAACCAAATTCGGGGTTTCTAGAATAAAATAAGCCCAAGTCAATCGTACCTTGCAGATAGTAGAAGATACGTTTTAACTCATCTCAATGTCTCGTCGTAGGGGATGAGTTAATCCTGCAAGTAGATCAGAAGCAAATGCTAGGTACAATATATTCACTAGATATATAAATGTTCGTCAACATTTATATATGCTAGCTACAATTCACAAAATATATAAATACTCGTCAGCATTTATATATAGTGCTTCATGATCAAATATATAGAGTCGACTTCCTTTAGGAGTGACTAATATAACATTTGTTGCTTTAGATGTTTAGTTGGAATATCTGGAGACACTTTTGTCTTTCCAAGATCTTTTATTCCAAATAACTCTTTAAGAGTTTTGATGATGTTCAAAAACATCATGCTTATAAGTTCCCGGGAATATAACTATGATATCATATATCTTTCAAGGATTAGTCCTACAGACCTCCCATGAGACGCAATTCAAGTCATTTATTCATCAACTCAATATCGAGTGATTTTGACAAAACCCGGCGCGACACACCGTCTTGTCTTAAGTATCATAATACTATTTTGATGCTTGGACCATGTGTCCAGAGATTACTCGTTTTTTCATACGAGATTAATATAGACTTGCATGCGTTTTTGTTTATTGGCCAATATATATCTCTTTACGCTCACAGAGCGGAGATTTATGATCCTCATTAATCACATTTGTGCGCTAGATCATTTTTATTGTCGACATTATGTTGTCTTTGGTTCCATATTTGCCGTAATGACATGGTTAATCGAGATCTCTTAATCATTATAAATGATTTTATTCAGGTACCTGATTTCGTTATTAACCATGACAATCGGTCTCTTTACTCCTCTTGAGAAGTCTTTATGCTCTTCTTTTAAGAGTTTAATCCTCTTTTCAATAATTATTTGCTCTATTTTATTTTCGAGGATTTTCTTTATAATTTGGAACCAAAGTTGTCTATCACGTTTTTTAACGTGTTATAGACAATAATATGTCATCCGCCAGAGACATATTTTTGTAGAGCATTTTTAGCTGGGAAAAAAGATTTCGTATGAACTTTAAGTTCATATGCATTTATACGAGGATCAGTAATTTCATGAAATCTCATCCATCAGCTTTTTGCATTTGATTTGCAATTAATTATGAATAGTGATCTATTTGAACTTT